GTGATGGACGAGAATACCGAAGAAACTCATGGTTCCTAAGAAGAGACAAGTCATTCAGAATCTCCCATGATGTGAACAAAGGTCAATCGTCCAGGTCAGAATTACAAAACAATGACTCAGCTCCTGTTATAAGACGAGGGGAAAGGATTAGAAGAAAACCAAATAATTTTGACTTGTGAAGGAGGGATGACAGTAGTAGTTAATATGTTAATGACATATGGTAATTGTTCAACATATGTTTTGATATTTTGATTGAGTTTTTGTTAAAATAGAAATACCCAACCTTTCGTGATCTCAGTATAATTATTTAATAATTAATTTAATGACAGGTACTTGGCATGTAAACACGTGCATGAACTTTTTTAATAGATGAGTGAACGAAGTGAACGAATCTATGTATCGTGTATAGCGGAGTCGGAGAAAAGTTGTCCGCTTGTCTGTGAGCGAGTCCGTGAGTGTGTTTTTCGTCAAATCTCAAGAACCGTTGCACTTATAGCGTTCAAATTTTGCACACATAATTATGACACCAGTGGGAATACCCCATTAAAATTCCAGACGATTCCGCTCAGTAGTAATTATAAAACCCTAAAAAAAACCTTTTTAAATTCGTCCCATAAGAATAACTTTAGAAGCTACCTTCTTCTTCTTTTTATTTGTTTACGTTTTGCGACCAACAATTTTGTCGTCTACTTAAGACAGAGAGAACGACTTATCCTCTAAGCTCTTTCATTCATGGAGTAAAGAGTTTGACGTTTATGAGTATATACGACATCATAATTTCACAACTTTCAGAATAATAAATTGAACTTTACTATATTAGTCGGCAGTTATACAGTTTTATGTTCAGGTCAATTCACATTTGCATTACAAATGTATATATTTAGTACTAAGCAGCTATTTATTTAATTCAATTTAATGTTGGCATTTACTATTAAATAGTCAAAGATGTTAGTCCATTGTTATACTAAAATGCTATGCGAAGGGGGGGAAACAGGTCCACGACGTAGGAAGTGGTGAAGGAAGTAGTCGATGTGAACAGTCTGGAGTGTGGGAACCCTTTGTGACAGTTATGTTAATGTACCTACAATACTAAAATACTATGGGAAGGGAGGGACAGGTCCACGACGGAGGAAGTGATAAAGGAAGTCGTCAAGGCGAGGGTCCGGAGTATGGGAAGCCTTTGTGACAGTTAAAATAATGTATCTGGAATTCTCAAAATGCCATAGGAAGGGATGGGACCAGGTCCACGACGATGGAAGTGGTAAAGGAAGTAGTCAAGGCGAGCAGTCCGGAGTGTGGGAACCCTTTGTTACAGTTAGAATAATGTATCTGCAATTCTGAAGTGCTACGAGAAGGGAGGAAAACAGGTCTACGACGTAGGAAGTGGTGAATGAAATGAAGTGATAAAGGTGAGCAGTTTGGAGTGTGGGAACCGTTATTGGCAGTTAGATTAATATATTTGAAATACTAAAATGCGATGGAAAGGGAGGGAAACAGGTCCACGACGTAGGAAGTGGTGAAGGAAGTAGTCAAGGCTAGCAGTCCGGAGTGTCGGAAACCTTTGTAACTGTTAGTTTAATGTACCTGCAATACTAAAATGCTATGGGAAGGGAGGGAAACAGGTCCATGACGTAGGAAGTGATAAAGGAAGTAGTCAATACGAGAAGTGCGGAGTGTGGAAACCCTTTGTGACAGTGGGATGTACGTATCTGCAATACTAAAATGCTATGAAAAGGTTGGGAAACAGGTCCACTACGTAGGAAATAATGAAGGAAGTAGTCAAGGCAAGCAGTGTGGAGTGTGGGAACCGTTGGTGGCAGTTAGATTAATGCAACTGCAATACTAAAAGGCTCTGGAAAGGGAGGAAACCGGTCCACGTCATAGGAAGTGGGGAAGGAAGTGGTAAAGGCCAGAAGTTCTGAGTGTGGGAACAGTTTGTGACAGTTAGATTAATGTACATGCACTACTAAAATGCTGAGGGAAGGGTGGGAAACAGGTCCACGACGTAGGTAGTGACGATGGAAATGGTAAAGGCAAGCAGTTCGGAGTGTGGGAACCGTTTATGACATTTAGATTCATTAGTTAGATAAACATATATTGGATTATTAATCATTTTTAGGTGATATAATAGCGCTATCGTTAGTATGTGTTATACAGTATATCATCATTATAAGCCATACGATATTTTTAAGAAGACTCCTTTACACCGTGCCGTCGCAATTAGGTTAAGTTAGATTCGTTCTAGTTGATGACTTGATAGTTTTGTTTATGATAGGCCTCATAACAAATAAGGAAATAGGCTTCATTTAGTCAAAAGACGTTTTGTACAGCAACGATGGATTTACCTCCTATCGATAACTGTTGGAAATCCATTACGTATATTACCAATGACTTTGGTTAAGTAATGGACGAGAAGTTAGGATTGTGTTGACTGAGATTTGGTTGATTTGCCTATACAAATAACACTGGGTTCTTCAGTGACCCCGGTTAGTAGGCTAGGTGCGGATGGACTCTTCCATTGTTGCGCTCACGTTCACTCGTCCCATTACGCGCAGGATAAGCGTACTACTAGTGAATGTGTAACAAGAATCTGATTCAAGTTTGCAATGAATTAAACATAGGTATTGCTTTTCTTTTGTCTAAATATATTGATTTATTAGAAATAAATTGTTATAATGCAAATGTCACATAAAATAAGTGACATAAGCTCTTAGAGTATACAAAAATTAGTCTCCGGATACTAAAAAATCGAGTACCATACCAATGATTTACAGAGCTTACAGTATTACTGTTTTTTACATCCAAGAATTACAGCTAGAAACTACAACAGGCAAATGTATGGTTCAAGTAATTGGTCAATAAGGGCTGATAGCTAAGCAATGTTTTTATTTGACAAACCCCTCTTGTACGGGTTGTGTGTTAAAAGCTGATTATCGGCAAATTGTTAGTAATGTGTTTACTGACTAATTGGCAGTGTATAAAAACCACTTTAAGCTACCCTAATGTGAATTGACGTTCGGTGTATAACACTTACGTTTCATTATTTTCAATTAATATTTGTAAAGATTTCATTGCAAATTTTGTATTTAAAAATACTAATTAAATAGTCTAATGTAGGTAAACTTTATAGTGCCCAGTTTATGGTCTTATGTCTTACTTAATTTCCGGTTTAACAACATTGCACAAACAAATTGCAAATTGTGTCTTTTGCATTAAACTATAAATAAAAATAAAAAAAACTAACCACCCTGGGCATTGGTATATATTTACTAAATATAACCAAAACATCCGTTGCATATATCTGCTTATAATAATTTTTTACTGACGATTATATTTAAGTCGTTAAGACTATAACAAACTTTCTCCAATACTATTATGACTTGGATTTCAGTTTAAGTTATGATAGAACTGGACAAAAGTGTGTGTACGTTATGGTGTGTAGTATTTCCATAGAGGTTTTCATGGGCCGAATGCATGTGATAACAAAAAAACAAGGTGGATTTTCTCGTCGATCTTTCTGTCGAGCAGCGATTTAGACTGTCAGCGAGTATAGGTTACATATATATCACACTTATCTCATACCCACACAATGATTTCTGGATTCGTTCTCGTTTTTAAGAACTGTTTTTCAGGCGACCTGTTTCACTAGGTAAAAATCAAAATGTTTATGTTTTTCCTATATACTCTGTTGGCAGAGGAAATACTTTAACGCTTTTTTGAAATCGGTCCTAGCCCATTAGTGTTGTGGGTGTGCCAGGAATTGAACCCGTATCTCCCGCACCCAAGTCTAAGACGCTTACCACTAGGCTAGCACACACCTTAATTTAAACGAATAAAAATCAATAAAATCGTAAAATTATTTAAAAAACTGAAACAAAACTAATACAAAACTATTTATCAACATTGTTTGGCAAAAGTTATGTATTGAGTTTAACGATTTCGATGTCGTGGAGCGCATCCTTAAAGGAAGGGACACAATTAGAACACGGCTCTCTAGATACGATCTTTCCTTTGTATCTTAACTTTACGGTCCTGCCCTGTAGACACTTATAGTTTCCTCGCTTCATTAGCCGTATATTAAGCATCCCCGCCGCTTTCCTTTTTATGAATACATTTAACACATACATGTTAATATACTGTCAGTTGTAAACCATTTCAGCAATTGCCATGGATGATATTTTATGATCATACATTTGTTTATACTTGTGAAATAATTTCAATTCATTGGTACTGCTGTGGTGTTTATCTACAAAGAATATGTTGGTTGACCAGGTAGACGTGGTAGGTTTTTTAGTGAGCTCAATCGCAATTGGTATATGTTAAAGACAAATTTCTCATCACTAAACTAAGTATTAGTGCTTATACATCTAAAATTAGTTTTGAATGAGAAAAACAAATACAACGGAATTACTGATTTCTAAAGATCAAAATAAAAAGTTCGCTTGATTTACGACTACCTAATCTGATACTTTTTAAATTCCTATCGATTCTGGCCCAAAACCATTGTCCACATAACTTCAGGCCAGGTCAATCAATTTAATAAAATGCGTTTTTTGGTGGGGTTTGAACACGGGGACTCAGGGACCGAGATCCTGCGCTCTACCATGAGACTTAATAGTATGTACCTATATTGCTTAAGGAATCTTGAAATGAATTTGAAAGTTTACTTTTACAGGACTTAAAAATGGATATCTTAAGTGGTCTCCTAGAACAAAGACTGCATTCACGTCAAGCTCCCTCCAACAAAACCAAAATCATGAAGCTTGTTGAGAATATAAGAAGAGTCCCATTCACATAGGTATAGGGCCTAGTACAATGTTAAAAATGTAGGGATTGAGAGATGCCTCAAAATGAATATTCCTGATAAAAAGGATACAAGAAAGTGAGAAGGCATGAAAATTGTATTAATGGATTAATAATCAAATAATACAAAAACAATAGTTTGAACAAACAGTTTTTACTCCACCCTTTAAAAAAAAAATGGGAAAACATAGGCTACCATGATAAAACACAAAAATACATAATCTCTAGTGGGTATTTGCAAAAGTTTCAATTTTCATTAGCCTTTATTCACACAAAGTTTTTAATAGTTAGTCAGAATCATCTATAACTATGATTTCTGGATTTTTATACACAGCAATGCTCACAGCGTACTTAACATTAAGTCTTTCACGAATATTCTTCATTCTACGTTTTATCTTGTTGTAGTTAATATTTACTGAGTTGCGAATAAAGCGACATTCTAACATTCCATTATGACAGCATCTTTGTGTGACTGTGCTGTCATATAACTCATAGTTGTTGAGAAAGTCCTTCTCCATAACTTGACGTAGGTGTTGTGGAAGGTTGATTGAGTAGTCGTTGTCCAACATTCCTACAACTGCGACTCTGAAGGTTACATATTGTATGTATACGTTGTACTTGTCCGCTTCCCTTGGGTGTTTGTCCTGTCGGTACCCGGGCTCGTTGTACAACGGATTCTCGTTCATGATACTCTGGATGGTGACGAGAACGCTTGATATATTCTGAGCGGGAGTCCACCCTGGACCACTCCACGTACCTAAGATGCTGAGGCAGACTTTACCACTGCTGTAGAGGTTGGGGTTGAATCTGACTGTTCCTCCACCCGTGGTCATCAACTTCACTTTCGGAGGTTCAAAAGGGTAGTTCGGAGGGAAAAAGACGATAAAGTAGAAGAAACCCCCGTCGTAAGGGGTGTTTTCAGTGCCTTTGATCAAACAATGGAGGTAGTTCATGTCGTCCTCGTCAACTACTGCAGTGACTCCTCGAGGTGGGTCGTTGAGTATCGTGGTAATGTCACGCTTGATTCTTCTCAAGTTCAGAGACGGATTGGCCTCTGTAGGAGTGTTTTGTTTTCTTCGATTAAACGGGTCCCAATCCATAATTGTAACTCTGGGGAAATGTTAAGATTTGCTAGCACAAGAAGTTTGCACGCGTATTTTGCTCAAGTAATGATTCGAGCTAAATCATTTAGACTGAAAATACGTGTGTTGGATTTGTTATTGATTGTATTTATGTTTCAAAACATATGTTTTTTAAGATTTAAAAATTGTATTAAGCATTCATTGGTCAAGACTTTAGGAGAAATATTTTTGAGCGGAGCGAGCGAAGCTCTTATACGTCGACTAATATTATAGATAAAACATACTCCCTTAGTAGATTTCCCATCCTTATGGAACAGCTGAAGCCAATTTTATTGTTAGTTCTGTACGGTTTTCTGTAGAGGTCGTGTTTTGTTTACAATTTGTTTCCCGTTATTACAGCCATTTAAAACCTCGTTTAACCAAATAATACGATCTAATCATAAACAATAACTTGTCCCCTAGTTATATAACCAAACAGTAAAGCACAAATCAAGAAATTAACCCTAAAATAATAGAAACAAAGTTTCGTCGACACTAGCGCCTTTGTGTCACGTACATGAACTAGACACGAAAAACGTGCTTCAAAATTTACAATGGGATGAGAAGTCTAATATGCATTTCGTAATACGCAAACTCCTCCTAGACGGCTGAATCAATCGTTTTCAAATTTTGCATGGTGATAAAGACCATATCGGTGAGTGCCAACAGTAGTAAAAGCGAGCAGTCAGGAGTGTGGACACTGTTTATGACGATTAGATTAAGGTATCTGCATTCCTAAAATTCTATGGTAAGGGAGGAAAACAGGTCCGCGACGTAGGAAGTGGTAATAAAAGTAGTAAAGGCGAGCAGTCTGGAGTGTGGAAACTGTTTATGACGATTAGATTAAGGTATTTGCATTCCTAAAATTCTATGGGAAGGGAGGAAAACAGGTCCACGACGTAGGAAGTGGTGATGGAAGTAGTAAAGGCGAGCAGTCTGGAGTGTGGAAACTGTTTATGACGATTAAATTAAGTTATCTGCATTCCAAAAATTCTGTGGGAAGGGAGGAAAACAGGTCCGCGACGTAGGAAGTGGTGAAGGAAGTAGTAAAGGCGAGCTGTCCGGAGTGTGGAAACGGTTTATGACGATAAATGACGACACTATCTTGGGGTTCGTGACGTATGAAGTGGTTAAGGAAGTAGTAAAGGTGATCAGTCTGGAGTATGGAAACGGTTTATGACGATAAGATTAAATAAGGTATCTGCATTCCAAAAATTCTAAGGGAAGGGAGGAAAACAGGTCCGCGACGTAGGAAAAGGTGAAGGAAGTAGTAATGGCGAGCAGTCTGGAGTGTGGAATCTGTTTATGACGATTAGATTAAGGTATCTGAATTCCTAAAATTCTATGGGAAGGGATGGAAAAAGGTTCGCGACGTAGGGGTGGTAAAGGAAGTAGTAAAGGCGAGCTGTCCGGAGTGTGGAAACTGTTTATTACGATTAGATTAAGGTATCTGCGACCCTAAAATGCTATTGGAAGGGAAGTAAACAGGTCCGCGTCGTATGAAGTGGTGAAGGAAGTAGTAAAGGCGAGCATTGTGGAGTGTGGAAACTGTTTATGACGATTAGATTAAGGTATCTGCATTCCTAAAATTCTGTGGGAAGGGAGGAAAACAGGTCCGCGACGTAGGAAGTGGTGAAGGAAGTAGTAAAGGCGAGCGGTCTGGAGTGTAGAAACTGTTTATGCCGATTAGATTAAGGTATCTGCATTCCTAAAATTCTACGAGAAGGGAGGAAAACAGGTCCGCTACGTAGGAGTAGTGAAGGAAGTAGTAAAGGAGAGCTGTCCGGAGTGTGGAAACTGTTTATGACGATTAGATTAAGTTATCTGCATTCCTAAAATTCTGTGGGAAGTGAGGAAAACAGGTCCGCGACGTAAGATCTGGTGAAGGAAGTAGTAAAGGCGAGCATTCTGGAGTGTGGAAACAGTTTATGACGATTATATTAAGGTATCTGCATTCCTAAAATTCTGTGGGAAGGGAGGAAAACAGGTCCGCGACGTAGGAAGTGGTGAAGGAAGTAGTAAAGGCGAGCGGTCTGGAGTGTAGAAACTGTTTATGCCGATTAGATTAAGGTATCTGCATTCCTAAAATTCTACGAGAAGGGAGGAAAACAGGTCCGCGACGTAGGAGTGGTGAAGGAAGTATTAAAGGCGAGCTGTCTGGAGTGTGGAAACTGTTTATGACGATTAAATTAAGGTATCTGCATTCCTAAAATTCTGTGGGAAGGGAGGAAAAGAGGTCCGCGACGTAGGAGTGGTGAAGGAGGTAGTAAAGGTGAGCTGTCCGGGGTGTGGAAATTGTTTATGACGATAAATGACGACACTAGCTTGGGGTCCGTGACGTATGAAGTGGTTAAGGAAGTAGTAAAGGTGAGCAGTCTGGAGTATGGAAACGGTTTATGACGATAAGATTAAATAAGGTATCTGCATTCCTAAAATTCTAAGGGAAGGGAGAAAAATAGGTCCGCGATGTAGGAAAAGGTGAAGGAAGTAGTAAAGGTGAGCAGTCTGGAGTGTGGAAACTGTTTATGACGATTAGATTAAGTTATCTGCATTCCTAAAATTCTGTATGAAGGGAGGAAAACAGGTCCGCGACGTAAGAAGTGGTGAAGGAAGTAGTAAAGGCGAGCGGTCTGGAGTGTAGAAACTGTTTATGACGATTAGATTAAGGTATCTGCATTCCTAAAATTCTATAAGAAGGGAGGAAACAGGTCCACGATATAGGACGTGGTGAAGGAAGTAGTAAAGCCGAGCATTCTGGAGTGTGGAAACCGTTTATGACGATTAGATTAAGGTATCTGCAATCCTAAAATGCTATTGGAAGGGAAGGAAACAGGTCCGCGTCTTAGGAAGTGGTGAAGGAAGTAGTAAAGGCAAGCTGTTTGGGGTGTGGGATCTGTTTGTGACCATTATATTAAGGTATTTGCAATCCTATGATGCTATGGGAAGAGAGGGAAATAGATCCGTGACGTAGGAAGCGGTGAAAGAAGTAGTAAGGTGAGCAGTGTTGCGTGTGGGAACTGGAAACCGTTTGTAGCAGTTTTAATGTATCTGTAATGCTGAAATACCATGAGAAGGGATGGAAGCTTGCCCACGACATAGGGAATGGTGAAAAAAGTAGTAAAGGCTAGCAGTACGGAGTGTGGAAATGGTCGTGGCAATTAGATTAACGTATCTAAAATACTTAAATGCATTGGAAAGTGATGAATACAGGTCCACGACGTAGGAAGTGGCTTAGGAAGTAGTAAAGTATGAGCATCAGCATAGTTTGAGATTCGTCTGTGGCAGTTAGATTAATGTATCCTCAATACTAAAATGCTATGAGAAGGGAAGGAAACAGGCCCCACGACGTAGGAAGAGGTGAAGGAAGAAGTAAAGGCTGGCAGTGCAGAGTGGGGGAACCGTTTGGGCAGTTAGATAAATGTATCTGTAACACTTAAATGCTATGAGAAAGGAAGGAAACAGGTTTATGACGTAGTAAATTGTGAAGGTAGTAGTAAGGCTAGCAGTGCAGAGTGTGGGAACTGTCTTTGGCAATTACATTAATGTATCTGCAATCCTAAAATGATATGGGAAGAGAGGGAAACAGGTCCACGACGTAGGGTGTGGTGAAGGAAGTAGTAAAGGTGAGCAGTGTTGAGTTTGGGAATGGATTAATGTATCTGCAATGCTAAAATGCTACGGGAAGGAACTGTAGACTGTATTTAAAAATGATTTCGAAGCACGAATCGATATATATTTTCTATACATGCAATAGTTTACATTTGAAATTTACAACTGAGTTGACAACAGCTGACTTTTACTTCATAGAGGCTGAAATAGTTACCTATTTGTGTAACTAGTGGTAAAAGTGGCACTTTGCTGCACACGAGAGCAATGTTTACGCACGAGCTGCAGGCGAGTGTGGAATGATCTCGAGTGCAGCAAAGGCCTTTTTCACTCGTGTTACACATTATATTTTTCCTACAGTCACTATAAAGCTTATAAATAATTAGTCTTTCAAACACTATGCAACACGTTTTTAGGTTCAGCTGGCAACACAAATGGTGCCATAGAGAAAGTAGTACCCGTGGGCCATATCACTCCGCTATTTTTCCTCGGCAAGAAATGTGCTCCGCGTTTTGAGAATATAGTTCCGTATGTTTTTGTAATTTGAAGTGGTTTCTGCGCCTAAAAAAAATGCTTAAAAGGTATTTTCTTGTTTATTAAGATCGTAGGAAGGTTTTAAAAACGTTTAAAAGAAAAGTCCAGAAAGTTCAGAAATACCGAAACTATAAACACGAAATGACAGGTTAAATCGTAGTTATAATAGTCAATCAGCTGCTCATAGTATAATTATCTTTAAGTGTTGCCAACCTATTTCCAAGCGTACACGGATTACGTGCATAATGGAACCACGCTGTTTTGTGTTGTTTCGTTGGAATCCTGATGTGCGGCAAAGTATAAACCGTACGGCAAAGTATAAACCGTACGGCAAAGTATAAATATGCAGCAATTAGCAGCTTTCTGTACTATAAACAGTACAAGGAAGCCAACTTTGTCGGGTGACTGTAGGAAAACTATTTTTACTCCCTAAATATTAAAAATGCTACTTTAGATCCGCACACGCATGCATTAAAAACTACTGTTTTAACTGAAGTATGACCAAAACAATATAATATGAACCCTTGATGACTCCACTCCGCTCAATTTTGTGGATGCCTCTGCGAACGCCACCTAGTTATTTTTCACTACAGTCGTTACGTTGTTGGTTATTATGAGACTTATTGGATCTGATCTAAAAAAAAACACACAATTAGTGTTAAGCTTTTAAATGGAGAAAGATTTTTTAATACAAATTAACGTATTCATTTGGCAATCGTTAGAGTTCTTTGATGTTAATCAAATATTTCTTTCGGGTTGCCAAGACTTTAAGTAAACCAAACTAAACAATAACTATAATGGGCTATTTAAACATCGTTTACGTACCAAAGATTATCATA